AGGGACGGGGAGGGGGAGGGGGAGGAGGAGGAGGAGGGGGAGGAGGAGGAGGAGTTGTTGCTGCTGCTGTTGCTGTAGCAGCAGCGGTGGTGGTAGTTGCTGTTGCAGTAGTCGTCGTCATCGTTGTTCGAGTATAATCGCAGTCGTTGTCGCGGCAGCAGCGGCATCAGCAGTAACTCCCCAAACATCGTTTGGGATTTTACCGGCTTCCTACTTACAGGGGAGTATCATCTTCTCTTCCTGCCTTTGGCAAAAGCAGCAAGGGAGGCTCTCTGCCGCTCTAGCAGTCTCTTGGATACAAGGAAAACACGTTGAAAGGACAATAGCAGTATTAGAAAGCACTGAGCGTAAGCCATATCGAAATGAAAACTTCGTTCCAGCTGGCAAAGTGCCCTTACCCGTAAAAACCAAGAAAATCAGGGCTCTCTTCCTGTTCCGGGAGACCTTAGAATCCGCAATAATCTGTTTTGGAGCGTCTTGAGGGGCACCGTCCACTCCGGCGTGGCTGAGCTGCAAATATCTAAAGTAGATCAAGTAGTTTAACTTCTGTTTCGGGACATTCCTCTGTAGCTACAAATGCAAGTACATACTCCCTTGGACCTAAAACGAAGAATCCTGCGCTCCTTTTGTCTCATTAGGTTTAGTCCCCTTAACCCTACCCTTGACCCTCAACCGGTGTGCCTCATTGCTTCCCTTCTGCAAAGCTGCAACCGAGAGTGGCCCCAAGGATTGGGGAAACGGTGCTGAAGAGGACCTACCCGAGTCATTTGAAGGGCGTTCTCAGGTTTCAAGGCATGGGCTCTAGGGCTTGAGGTTTAGCGCAGGGACGCTGAGGAGATAATTATAGTGCAGTGACTATGACAACATATACGGATTTTCTTCAAGACGGTCTGGGGATTTTTGTAAGGGACTCCCGTTAAAACTATGGCAGGCCCAGGGTATGGGGTTGTGACCTACAGGCTTCTGAGAGATTGCGACTTTGGCTTCATGGCGTTGGGCATTTGTGCCGGGAGGCATGGGAACAATCCTCTCTTAGCAAAGAACAGTATATCCCTAAGGGTCCAAGGACCCAAATAATAGGGATTTAGGGCCCAAATACCATTAATAGTATAGTATTTGGGCCCTAAAGCCCTATTATTTGGGTCCTTGGACCCTTAGGGTATACTTTCATATTTGCAGTACGAGCAGGAAGCACCTCAATTCGTCCTCCACGACGACTCTCGACACTCACAAGAAATCCGAATCGGAGAGACTGGCACCCCAAGTGATTCTAATCTCTGCCCGCCTCCTTGCATGAAGTCGAGCCCATGAGGCCCATACCCTCCGTCCCCCAAAACCGCATAACCCCAAAAGCGGCTAGGACAGTGTATTACCAAACACGAATCCCGTCTATGATAGTATACAATAATGGAATACTATAGGTTATTACCTGGCTATTAAAAAGGATTTTCCTGCCAGGTACTCAACTGCCTACTTTAACTCCTATGTGATCTCAGTTTCCATGTGATTTTCCAGTTTATTTACCATTCGATTTTCCATTGTTGGGTAATTAAAAAAATCCCAAAGCCCTACATAATCCGGGCCCTATCTAATGCCTCTGTAACCCCCCTAAGCCGAACCCCACAACCTAAACCCTAAAACCCTAAAAGTCAAGCCCTGAACCCTAAACCACTCATAATTCACTGTAACTCCACAAGCCCAGGGCCACAAGAGGCCTTTGCGTCCGCTGCTCTTGCAGCCACCCCAGAAGGTCCCTGAACCTGCCGAGTCCTGCTCTGCATCTACGGTTAGGAGTATGGAACTCTAACATGGGCCCTTAGGCTTTTTAGGGGGATTCTAGGGACATATAGGATATGTAGTAGGCGTATCAGGATCCCAGGGTAAAAGGACCCGTACTAGGGGCCCATGGTTTCAACCTTAAACTGCGGAATGCTTTGAGTTCGGGAAGATGGGCCAAGGCTTGCTCTCTTTGGGATCTATGGGTTTAGGGTTTTAGGTTTCAGGGTTTAGGGGTTTAAGGGTTTAGGGTTTAAGAGTTTAGGGTTTTCATACATTGGGTATGTGATGTGGATGATGGATTCTATGTAGAGCATATGCGGTTAGATAGGGATATTACCCCAACAAAGGAGCATCACATGGAAAAATGCAATGGGAGATCAAAAAGAGACTAGCTTTTCGTAAGCATCTTCAGTTTGCGGCAAGGATGCCATGCTCCAAATACGAGTGTCATCTATAATACCTGAACCCCACAAATGTGTAAAAGAATGTGTTTTGGGTCTGTTGTTGAAGATTTTGAGCCATTATTTCACCTACTTTTGGAATCTAGGTAGTACGTACTTCTCAGAGACAATCGGATGTTGAAGTGGTCTGATTTCGAAGCGCCGATCCGACGATTTAGGGTTGTGGGATACGGGGCAAAGTCCGTCAAAGGCCAGTTCACCTAGATGGCCCCCACATGGGTGGTTGTCAAAATTATGGTCCCCTTTTGGATCCCTATTATAATACGACGGCCCCTAATATAATTTTGACAACCATCCACATACTCTTTTATTCCGCCCATCTCATCCTCCACTGAAACCGACGACCCTCCTCATGCAGAACCCTCCGCCCACCTATTGGATGCTGGAGACCGCTTCAAACATCAGATTTTCCTCTATATTTAGATCCAATGCAAAAGCTCGAACACACAAAACAACTCCAGAACCTCGCGTCCTGCAGACCAAGCATAACCTAATCCGCATCTGCAAGGTCCTTCATCCAAGCCGCCTAGGAGGGAGGTTCGCCCTGCTTGCAGCACCACCTGCAACCTCTGCAATGCAGATGGCAAGGACAAAATGCTAGTTGGTATGGTGTGCGTACAGCGTGGCAGAACACATCACCAGAAGCCTTGCATTTTTGTGCGCGTTTATTTCCTCCGGTTCTGTGCTATAGCCGGTCTCTTGTTCACATGGTCGTGTAAGAGCCACAAAGCAATCCATCAGTCACCTGAGCAAGGCCTTTAAACGCCCTCGTCCCAGGCGGCCATCTGTACAGGAATGGAGATGCCAACAGCATCCCGAGAATAGGTACTGCCAGATCAAGGGCCATCGATCTGCCGCACCTTTCCTTCAAACTGAAACACCACGCCTTTGCCCAACATGTGTGGGCGGAAGCAAGTTCTAAGTATTATGCTGGAACTGAGACCTCGGCAGCCTCCAACTTGGCATCCCGGGCGTTGCTACGGCCCACATCCCGGGCTTTCTTCTGATGCTCTCGCGCACGCTCCTCCTCATTGCGCTTGGCCTCCCACCGGTCTCTGGAGACTACCTGGCCAACCCAAAGAAGGCAGCGTAGTATTCGAAGAGCAGACTACCCGCAACCCTCCTGAGAAACAAACAACAATCACGAGGCATAAGTCCAAAACTGAGAAGCAAAGCTTTGGAAAGCCCTCACCTTGTCTGGCAGAGCACCCGCGTTCTTGCTGCCGTGGGACCTATGATCCAAAGTTCTAACAGCAACTCCGGAAATTTCTGCATGTTAGGCCCCTAGCCCTAGACTAAATGACAAAGCTCACAAGAGGGCAACAGCACCCACTGGAGTGATGCCCTCTCCGTCTTATAACCTGATTCTGGGGCTATCCTTGGAAACTCGAAAAACTCCGCATTTCAAGCACATCTCCTGGGCTGTGGAGCCCTCCCACCCAAATGGGGCCAGTGTCTTGGTAGATGGGGCTTCCCAAGATTAGGAGTATGCCCATAATGAGGATTATAATATTTTGGGATCTATATTAAGGCCCCTTTATTTTGGGAAACTACAAAATATTATGGGCTCCCAATTCTTGGAAGCACACAGATTCTGACTCTCAGCATCCTAGGGACTCGAATTTGTCGTGACTGTGCTCGGCATCAAAGCGCTCGGCCTCGTTCACGCTGAGGTCGAAGTCTGCCTACGTTGAGTCTTGCTGGAACGTGGTTGGATCCTTGAACAATAACCTGTTTGCTCTTCTATATCCCTGTATCTTGTAGTTTCATGTAGTTTCCATTCAATTTCCCATTTGATTTTCCATGTGATTCTCCATTATTGGAGCTATAGACCCTATATAACCCATGTAAAGCCCCTATCCAATCCCAATCTATACATATACAACTTAGCTACACTTCTGAACTGTTCTTACCATTCCTGTCTGTGCGTCACTCCATATACCCTTCCTAGTTCAAGGTCCATTGCCTAGTGAGAATCTAGGCATTACATAGGGTTATGTCATATAGGGGTTCAGGGCTTAGGGCGGGAAACTACCCCAATATCGGAGAACCACATGGAAAAAAAAACGTGAAAATTAAAAGGATTTCTAGCATTCTCGTTGTTGTTCATATTAACGGTCTCCCCAGATGGACTGTCAACATCTACACATACGAATATGTAAGCACGATATGTATAAGGATAGACATGTAGTATCATCATTAGTCTAGGAATGTCAAACGCACTTCTCAAAAACCCTAATGAAAACTCTGCCTCTGATGCACAAAATCCTGCATCAACCCAAGTAGAATCTGGCACCATAGTTCCTACGCTTGGGGTATGTTGAAATTTTCCTGAATAGAGGAAACCCAATATACACCCCATCATACTATAGTCTAGGGCCCCGCAAAGGGACCCTTAAGTTTAGCAGCACCCCCTCAACCTAAACCCTACTGACCCCTCCCCTGTAACATAGCAGTTTCCATTTTATTGTCCATTATCCCAATATAACCCTAATATAACCCCAATATATACCCTATTATAATATAGCAGTCTTGATTTTATCTTCCATTATCCCAACATAGCCCTAATACAACTCCAATATATACCCTATTATAATATAGCAGTTTCCATTTCATTTTCCATTATCCCAAGATAACCCCAATATAAACCCTATATCCCCTATATAAACCCTATATGATCCCTATAACCCCAATTTGTCCCTCAACCCCTTCGGCTGCTCACCTGCTCCGTCTCTTCCAGCGTGGCGTGGTCAATGCCGCTGGCAGCCACTGCCTGCTCATAGCGGGTCGATGCAGCGTGCGCGGCCTCCAGGATAACTGGGGGTGTAGCTATGGGGTTATATGGGGTTATATAGGGTTATATAGGGATAATGGAGAAAATGGAAACTACTATTTAGGGTTTAGGGTTTAGCGTTCAGTGTCTAGGGTGTAGGGTTCAGGGCTTAGGGTTTGGAGCATAAAGTTCAAAGTTCAAAGTTGCGGGTTTGGGTTGTAAGTTTGTATTAGTGCCAAATTAGAAGAATTCAATACCCAGGTTAGCAGTTGGATCGAGGCGGGATAGAATCGCTTGTGAACGCCTGCTTGCAAACGTCGTGTTCATTGCTACTTGCCTTACTGTTCTTGCAGAAGCTAGCATGTAAAAACCCTGTATATAAATCCGTATATATCCCTATATAAGCCCTACATAATCGTATAACCCTAAACCCCTCGACCCTAGATAACCCTCCTTTAAGGAGTCTATCGATCCCTTAATAAGGCAAATATAGTCGTTTCCCTAAATCAGGGGACACCAACATAGGCCCCCTATACTATAATCCTTATTAGGGGGACTATAATTTTGGAAAACCCCCATATGAGCTATAGTCTAAACTCCTGATATCTTCCTTAATAACCCCTATAACACTCCCCTATAGTATTCCCGATATAGCCCCCTTTAAGGAGTTTGGACTATAGCTCACATAGAAATCCTAAACCCTGAACCCGAACTAGCAGTTTCCATTTTATTCTCCATTATCCCAATATAACCCCAATATACTAATCTCTTCCTCATATTAATAAACCCCCCCTAATAATAAATAATAAATCCGGGAACCCAAAAATTCCTCATGAGCA